TTCAGCAGTGACTCCTGTACTGTGAACTTCACATGCAGAGCTCATGAGCTCACGATTTACTCTAGCTATCAGAACAACAGCTGCTCTCCAGAGGAAGTGACATTACAGCAAAACTACACTCTCATCCTGTTCTGCAGTGAGGAAACCATCATCTGTAACCATAGCAACCCTGTCAGCTGGAAAGAAAACAGATCAAATATTACACAGCTTTGTGTTAATAATGGTATCTCGCCAAATACACACACAAACAATGCACATTAGCTCACAAATCAATTACTATATATTATTTTGTCTAACTAAGTCTAACTGCTGAACTGTAGTGTGAACTCTGAAAACCTGATCTGTCAGCTGTATTTCTTATTGATATATGTCTCTTTTTCCAGAGACTGAGACTATGAAGACTGATTCATTTCTCCTGTGGTCAGTAGTTGGATCGGTGCCAGTGTGCATTTTGATAATATGTATTATAGTCTTTATGAACTGCAAGTGTAAAAAAGGTATGTCCAAGTTGCCTCACATAAATTCTCTATGAAAAACTGATCTCTGTTCACCAATTTGATAAATTATGTACTTTTGTAAAGTAATTTTAAAAAATGATGGTGCTATTTCTTCTGTTTTAGTCAATTGTAATATTGTAGAAAACTGTGTTCTTCCACTTTTAAAAATGATTGTATCTACAGAATATGCTCTGATCAGATCATTTATACATCCTTAGTAGCAACCAGTTAGTAACCAACAAGTAAAGATCTTTAAGAACAATATTTATCTTAAACAGTACATTCTAATTTTTGCCGTTTAGAACTTAATTGTTAGATTCCATATTCACCACAACTCAACCCATCCTGTTCAGGTTTAAATGTCACAATGTTTTGTAACTATGATGAGGACAGAAACATATTTGTTCTTTGCTGGTGCCAAAAAAAGAAGGAATAGCAAACAATCATTCAATAATATTGAGAATTAGTAAAAGCAAAACAAATGCAACAAATTCATAACTACTAAAGTTTTAGGTATAAACAGAAGAGATTGCTGCTGCTTATTTTGTAATTAAACCTTCTCAAGAAAACACTGATATGCAAAATCCCGAATGAATCTTCATATAAATATGAAATGGTTTAAACTACACCTTTTGTTTTCAACTGAGTACATGAGGAAAGCCTCAGATGCAGAAGTTCCACAACATAATACTAAAGAAACTCAGTTTAGAGCAGTTTGGAATTAACAGTCAATATGAAAAAATATCTTCGGTTCTTACTAAACCACATGCTATTTTTTTTAGATGCATATATTAACATATTCTTTATTATGTCATAAGTCTTCATATTAATATATTGCTGTACATTCTAAACCTCACAGGTGCTCAGGAGGAGGTAGTAGAAGGTAATACAGTCTATGCTCATGTTGAGGTAAGCTTCAAATTACTGTTCATCATTAAGCTCACAGACATCATTGATATGTTGTCAAGTCAAGTCAAGTCAAGTCTGCTTTATTGTCAATTCTTCCACATGTACAGCACATACACACAGAGAATTGAAATTGCGTTACTCTCAGACCCTTGGTGCATACAGATAACACTAACAGTAGAACATAAATACAGATATACAGATTAAATATAAAATACAACTATACAAATATACAAATAAGGTAAAATGTAAAAAAATATATAAAAAAAATATATATATAAAGCAGCACACGGCAGATAGAGTGCATACCATTTTTGTAAACAACAGTGCAGATATAATGATTTGTAGTGCAAAAAGAGCTTATTTAGACTGATTAAAGTGACTGTGTGTGTGTATTTGGGAGGGGGGAGGGAGGGCAGACTTGATATGGTGCATGACTAGCCGTTCAAAGCACATGTAGTATAGTTCTATTTATTTATGTCAGACATCAAAAATATTAATCTACACAAATCAGTGGCTCCCATTTTTTTCAAATCTGCTTTTTTATCTTTGTCAAAATTGTATAGCAAAATTATCACCACATATCACTTAAAAAAGAGGCATAACTACATTATTTAACAGAAGGCAATATTTGACTTTGCATAGCAGAAAGAATTCAGACATTTCAGCTATAAACAGAAGAGATCACTGCTGCTTATTTTGTAATTCAATTTTCAGAAGAAAAGAAAACACTGACATGTCCAATCCTGAATGAATCCTTCTGCAACTAAAAACAATCTGAATTCATTACATTTTACTTTTTGGCACCAGCAAAGGTGATCACTTTGTTCATCTCACTAATGTTATAAGAGTTCATTGAAAATAAATAATAACAAATTAAATAGTAGTTGTTAAAAAACAATAAAGTATTACACTGTAGTATTTCAAATAATAAAAACAAAGTAGTAAATAAAACTGACTTCAGTAAAAAGTCATTTTTGATAAATACAGCAGATGTTTAATAATTCAGCATGCACAGCTTCTTCATGTGGCCTTTGCTTTTAAAGAGTGTATGCACACACTAGCTATTACTCCTTGATAGAACATTATAAATGACGTTTTTTGTTTACAAATTTCAGGCTCAGGAAATGCAGAAAATCAACAGTGACTGCAATACATACGATATTCCACACCGGGTGAGAATAAAGTAGTTAACAGTTAACAGGCTATGATTTCATAAAATGCTTGTTGTATATACTTGAGGGTTGTGAATGTTTTATTAAATCATTTAGTTTAGTACTTGTTCAGCTAAACATGCAGTTATATTTGGACACTGACACAATTTTCATAAGTTCGGCTCTGTATGCCACCAGAACAAAATTAAAAATAAAACAATCAAGATGAAATTGAAGTGCAGACTTTATTTCAAGGGGTTGAACAAAAATACAACATAAAATGGAATTACTTAGGAATTACAACCATTTTTATACACAGTCCTCCCATTTTCAGAAGTTCAAATGTAAGTTGACAGATAAATATAATCATAAATAAAGTCTACATTTTTAATATTTTGTTGAGAATCCTTTGCAGGCAATGACTGCCTTAAGTCTGGAACTCATGGACATCACCAAAGACTGGGTTTCCTCCTTTGTGATGCTTTGCCAGGCCTTTACTGCAGCTGACTTCAGTTGTTGTTTGTGGGTCTTTCTGCCTTTAGTTTTGTCTTCAGCAAGTGAAATGCATGCTCAATCGGGTTGAGATCAGGAGATTGACTTGGCCATTGCAGAACAATCCACTTTTTTACCTTCAAAAACTCCTGGGTTGCTTTTGCTGTAGGTTTTGGTTCATTGTCCATTTGTACTATGAAGCGCCATCCAATCAACTTTGCTGCATTTGACTGAATCTGGGCAGAAGTCCCTATACACTTCAGAATTCATCCGGCTGCTTCTGTCCTCTGTCACATCATCACTAAACACCAGTAACCCAGTGCCACTGGAAGCCATGCATGCTCATGCTATCACAATGCTCCACCGTGTTTCACAGATGATGTTGTATGCTTTGGATCATGAGCTGTTCCAAGCCTTCTCCATACTTTTTTCTTCCCGTCATTCTGGTACAGGGTTATCTTAATTTCAGCCATCCAACGAATGCTTTTGCAGAAGTGGTCTGGCTTTTTTAGATTATTTTTTTGGGGTAAAGTCTAATCTGGCCTTGTTTGCACCTTCTGGCGAACCCTCTGTATTTGCACTTGTAAAGTCTTCTCTTGATTGTAGACTTTGACAGTGACACGTCTACCTCCTGGAGAGTGTTCTTCACTTGGCTGGATGTTGTGAAAGGGTTTTTCTTCACCATGGAGAGTATCCTCTGATCATCCAGCGCTGTTGTCCTCTGTGGACGTCCAGGCCTTTTTATGTTGCTGAGCTCACCAGTGAATTTATTTTTTTCTCAGAATGTACCAAACTGTTGATTTGGCCACTCTGAATGTTCCTGTTATCTCTCTGGTGGATTTGTTTTGTTTTTGGAGCCTAACAATTGTCTGTTTCACTTGCATGGAGAGCTCCTTTGACTGCATGATGTGGGTTCAGAGCAACAGCTTCCAAATGCAAATGGCACACTTAGAATCAACTCCAGGCAAAGAATAGCCCACGCCTGTCCATGAAACAGCTTTTGAGTCAATTGTCCAATTACTTATGGTCCCTTGAAAAAGAGGAGAGGTACATATTAAAGAGCTGTAATTCTTTAACCTTTCCTCCAATGTTGATGAGAATACCCTCAAATTAAAGCTCAGAGTGTGCACTTTAAACCCACATAACTATACCATGGATATGTTCTGGTCAGCAGCTAAAATAATAAAAATTGTGTCATGTTCTGTTTTGGTTTTGAATTCCCTGTGTTTCTGTTTCCTGATTTAGTTCCTCATTAGTTTCCATGGTTTTTGATTAATTAGCTCCACGTGTTTCAGTTCTCCCTGATTACTTTTCTAGTACTTAAGTCCTGTGTTCTCCCCGGTCCTTTTTCTGCCATTGTTTGTGTCTACGTGTTGTGCTACCCCTTGCTCCTGGATTCCTGCTGTTTCTTGTGTGGATGTATTATTAAGAGACTGTTTTTTTATTTTTTATTACTCGTAGGCTTTTACTAGCACAGTACCGTTACATGTATATGGACCTAATTGTAATTGTTCAGGAATGCATTTTTAAAAATACTATTTTTACATGTATTTCATTAGGTTCAAGCCCAGACAGAAGATGAAACTGGAGATAATCGACCCAACACAACCTACTGCACAGTAGGACAATACCAAGAACAAAAAATCCCCCCTGAAACAGAGAAAACTATTTATTCAGTGGTGAAAAAAAAAACAAACAAGAAACCACCTGCCATTTCATCTGATGACACTTAAAAAAATTGTGGCTATATGTCACATGAGGAAGTTGTCACAAGGCCTGATCTCAAAATGGTATACTACCCTTACTATATCTGCCATATCTTTATATGGTAGAAATAATGGTTTCTCTAGCATTGGTTTAGCATACTGGTTTCAAACATCCAGATCCAAAGTGTTTTGAGTGTGAATTCTATCCTTTAATGTGATTTTGTACACAGAATATATAACTTCCAAAAATAACCACAGTGAGCAATATTAACTGAAGTAAACTGTGACAATCAACCCCGATCTGCCCCACATGATAATCAGTAGATTAATATAATATTAACCTTACCTTCCATGTTATATTTAACAAGTATGCATTTTAATTTAAAAAATATTTAGTACGAAGCCAGGCAAACTAGTGCAGAATGCAAATCCAGTACAACTTTAGGTATGTTATTTATACCTACAGCCAAATACGTTTTAGTACATTTTGATAACCACTAGTTGGAGATATTGTATCACATTTCTGGCCATACCTTTTCAGTTAAACTGAGTGGGATCTTTTCTACAATCGGAATAACTGCTCTTATGGGCTTATGGTCTAAATAAATAAGTATTATTTTATTATGAAACTTTCGTATTTTATTTAAGCCTTTGACACAATTCAATAAACTGCAGATTTCCCTAAATATAGCTTTATTTCAATGTTATTTTCCCCTACAGGTAGGGCTATGGTTCGTTTATTTATTTCAGAGTTTTGAAGTATATCGATGCAAAGCTGTGATCTCATGGACCACTTGAAATAATTCAATGTAGATGTTATGAAACGCTACATTGAATCTTTTTTTAACTGGTTCTTAAACAAGTTTGCAGAAGAGAGTTGTGCCTACCCTTACCAAAAAGTAGTATACTTCAAGTTTATTTTATTAAGTATACTTAAGTAAAGTTCAAGATGAAAACACGGATTCTAGGAACACAAGTATAGCTCAAATATATTTAGACTTTTTCTAAGTACGCTATAAGTCAAGTATACTTAAATGTCATTTTAAGTATATTTCTGAGAAGTGCATAAAGCCCATTTCTGAGAAGTGCATAACAAGTAGACTAAAAGCATACTTTCCTATTTTTTTGTTTAAAAGAAGTAGCTATACTAATAGCACACTTGAATAAACTTCTTTTTCGTAAGTGTACTTCCCATAGGGCCTACTACCCTTGGGTGATTGTTAGTAGTCTGCCGTTTATTTGGAAAATACGCTTAGGAGAAAATTGTTTTATCTCTTTTAATTAATAAAATCTCACAAATAAAACGAATGCCATTTATAGCCAATAGCACGTTTTAAAACCAGTGTTTATGGATTCAGAAATTGCTTTGGAGATGTTTAAAAAAAATTTGCTTAATTTTTATTAAAATCTCTGGACTATAAAATAATCAACAAGTCCTTTCGGCATCTATCCAAACACCTTCATCAGGCAAATATATCCATAAAAGTCACATGATCAACAGACTACTAGGTTAAACGTGTAATATATGTCAGAGTAAATGGTGTTACTGCTTTGGAAAGAACATTGTATACATACATGCTCGCAACAAGACACAAGCAAGTCCGTTCAATTTATTGCTTAATGCACTCCCATAAATTGTAAAGTGTACGCTGTTATTCAAATGTGCTGGTATTATAGTCTATTTTTGATATAATTGTTAACAGTGTATTTTCTGTAAGCCTATTATCTACATTTAAAACATACTGTATATAGACAAAACTGTGCAAAATTGTAACATTTGTATCTAATGTTTTGAGAAAACAATATTTTTATTTCTTATTACTTTATTTTTTCATGAACTCAAAGGAATCCTGTGTTACAGGTGGGTTTGAGCTGCTATTGTCATTAATAAAAGTGTTACATTCAATTAATATTGTCTTAAATTAATTTAGAGTGTGTGTGTGTGTGTGTGTGTGTGTGTGTGTGTGTGGGTGTGTGTGTGTTGAAAATCATTCATCTACTTACCAAAAGACATTTAACTTAATGGGAATCATTTTTTGAAACGGTCATGTTTTTGTTTTTTTGAACTGAAGTCAGGAAGTCAGATTTACCCTTCTGCAGCCATGTTTTCTACAATAGGGCAATCCCCTGCTAAAAAATAGCATCATACAACTGCATTGTGGTATGTGTTTGCCATTTTAGAAAGGATAACTCTTCATCAACTCCCACCAGGAGTCAAAATGTTAGCAGCATAAAGGTGTACTACTATAGGGTTCATATTTAAAATAATGGTTGATGTCTATAATGGTGTATATCTACAGTATAAACTAGTTGCTTATAAGTAATGTGAAAATATTTAGGTCTGTTATGTTAGTTTGTGAATGAACATTGAAGCTGCTCATTGTTAGCATATTTATAAACTGTGCTGGACAGGTTATGATTTTGAAGTGCGCACACATATTATGTGCATTTGGGGTCCTTAACAGTGGGAGATGAAAAGTGATTGTGAACAGAAAGTGTGTAAGTGAGACGAACGGTGAACAGTAAAGTGAAAGAAGACCATTGATGACTTGAAAAGAAAGAGAAATATCAGAATGAACTATAGACAATTAAACTAATTTTACATGCTTTAGGAAAAGATATAACTACTGGAACAAAGACAATGTTCATGTATAGTAAAATATGCCAATAACTATTTTGTTTGGCTTTGTTATTTTGCTCTTGGCCATCTTTGTGACTTTTAAGGGGGAATTTCTTCTCACATGAGCTCAAAAGATACAAGGTGTTTAGTCATATCATGGTTCTCTTACAGTCATAATGTTTGACGTGAACTAATGCTAGAACTAAGCGGAAATAGCACATAGGCTGTTTCTACTTGTGGTTTTATGGCTGAAGCCTCTCCGTGTTTAACTTACTCGACTGAAAGACAGAAAACAAATTGTGTTTGCTGTGATGGCGTTTAGGCTGTTCCTTTCATTTGCTCTTCTTACTTTCAACACAGGTATAAAATCAAATCATTTTACTATGATAAATTAATCTGTGATTAAATGTTTTTCTTCCCGTGGCAATAAGTGAAGTGAAAGGCAGTTTTAAAATTTGCTTTAAAGTTAAATGTTTTATTCTTAACATTGTCTTTTTGACATATTGATCAAGTCTTTTGTTCAAGGAATTGTTTTGTTTTCACTTCAGAAATGTAATGTTGCCAGGATTTTACAAGATATCATTATGATTGATTTGTTACAATAAAATCCTGTATTCAGTATTTTGTCAAAAAAGGATGACTTAAGGTAAAATAACCACATTACACTGCATTGTGGGAATACCCATCAGTCCTTGTATATATGTATATTTTGATGTCATTATTATGGTGCTTAGTGTTACAGAGAATTTGAACCTTATTTGGTCTTAATTAAATTTCATCCAGGCAGTAATAGGGTTTAACTGACTTTTTTATTTTGTAATTCATGAATAATCGCATCCAAAATAAAAGGTTTTGTGTACATAATATATGTGTGTGTACTACTGTGTATATTTATTATGTGTATATATAAAGACACACACATACAGTATATATTTAGAAAATATTTACATGTATTTACACATATATATTCATATTCATATAATTTATATTATATACTGTATCAATATATTTAATATAATAACAACATATTTTTCTTAAATATATACATGCATGTGTGTGTATTTATATATACATAATAAATGCACAGTACACACACATTATGTACACAAAAACTTTTATTTTGGATGATATTAATCGTTGCCCAGCACTACATTTTATTTATGAATTATTTAATTACTGACACTAATTATTGAAGTCTGATAATTTTTTGCATTCCACATTATATGTGATTTAGTTTAATTTTTTAGCGACGTGACATGTGGCCAAGTATGGTGACCCATACTTGGAATTAGTGCTCTGCATTTAACCCATCCAAAGTGCACACACACAGCAGTGAACACACACCCGGAGCAGTGGGCAGCCATTTTTGCTGCGGCGCCCGGGGAGCAGTTGGGGGTTCGGTGCCTTGCTCAAGGGCACCTCAGTCGTGGTATTGAAGGTGGGAGAGAGCGCTGTACATTCACTCCCCCCACCTACAATCCCTTGAACTTGAACCCGCAACCTCTGGGTTACGAGTCCGACTCTCTAACATTAGGCCACGATGGAAGTGCTAATGGCCACCATTAGCACTTCCCCATGCGGAAATGCTGTATGCTAAAATACTTAATAAATAAAGTACCACCTTACTAAATAATAATGGAGTGAACAATAGTACTGTGATGTGCTGAATGGTTGTTCAAATTTGTTCATTTGTCCTTGAATTTCACTCTTTACTGAGAGAAACAGCGACATTTGATTTTTATTCAGCTTAATAGCACAGCTGTTGACCAATCCCCTATTACTAAATTAACATTCAACTAAAACCTTTAGCTTGTGGCAGCATATCATTAATGTTCATGACAGCAGCAGTAAGCAAACTGCTACTAAACTTTGCCCTCTAAACAAAAAAACGTATTTTCTCTCTCCTCAGGGTTCAGTGCTGAGATCTCTGTATTTGTGCAGACAGAAGCTTCTGTTAAACTGGATATACAGACACAACAACTATCAGAGTTTGATCTTTTTTACTGGATGAATAATAAATCTGAAGAAATAGTTAGATATATAAATGGAACTAAACAAGTAAGATTTCATACTTTCTTTGAGAACAGATTGGATTTCAGTGCTAAAACCTTCTCTCTAACACTGAAGAGCATGCAGAAGACAGACAGTGGACTCTACACAGCAAGAGCAAGTGCAGATTCAGACATAAATATTGTTACATACAGAGTATCTGTTATAGGTGAGTGTTATGTGTACTACTTAAGCTACGATGTAATAAGATAATGTTAATTATACTTTTATTGGGAAATAGTTTTTTTGATCTGAAAACTTTTATTTGAAAACAATGTAAATTATGTAAAGTACAACAAAAATACATTTTGCATATGTTTTGTACTGTGATCCACAACCTGTTACTCATGATTTAGTGAGTTACTTATGTTCATTTCAGGAAGTCTATACAAAATAGTATGAATAAATTATGTTTGGTCTTTGTTTACTCAAGTTTTGAATTGGCAAGTTCTGGCATCACTGAATCTGTATGTGGATTTAAACATTTTAATGTGTTTCAGATGCAGTGAAAACTCCAGTACTGATTGTAAATTCAAACCGGTCCAGCCCTGACTCCTGTAGCTTTACATGTAATGGAAGTAATAGTATCATCAGCTCTATTTATAATAGTAGCAGCTGTTCTCGAGAGGAAGTGACATCATCTGATAATCACACTCTAAGACTGAGCTGCAGTGGTGACTCCATCATATGTAACTACAGCAACCCAGTGAGCTGGAAGACTGACACAGAGACGGTTAATGAACTCTGCACTGTTAATCAAGATACTTCTCCCTTCAGATGACGAAACAAAACACTGAACTGAAATGCCTGTTGGATTAAAATTCAGTATGGAAAAATTGATTTTCTGATGTTCTTCTTTCATGTCCAGAAGCATCTTTGCATCTCCTTTGGCTCATTCCCATTTGCCTATTCACAAGTGGTTTGTTGGTTTTGGTCAGCAAGAAAAAAAAAGGTATATCATCATAATGAATTTCATTAACATTCCATATTAACTGCAACTAGTGAACATATCAAGAGTATTTCTATGAAAATAAAACTTTACATTTTTATGTCAAATGTGTCAAATTTTATAATATGGTCAGATAATTTTGGATATTTGTGCTATGATCAGCTGAACTTTTGCATAGCCCTTTAAAGCATTTCAGAAGTAAGAAAAAAAAAATCCAACAACTCTCATAACAGTCCTTACAAAGTTTGGCATCACATAGTAATGTGACCCTACCCTTTTCTGCAGCGATTTCTGGAAGAGTATACAGCATATCACTTCCCATGTGCTAATATTACAGAAGGATCAACTCAAGTTGATCAACTCAACTCAAATAATTTAAACGTAAAAATTTGGCAGACCTCCAAATGGGAGTTACATACTCCACAATGGAGTAGAACTCAAAAAGCGGAAGTACTGACTCATTCAGGAACAAACTTAGCTTAAGTTGCTGAAATTAAACATTGAGAAAAGCTTCTATATCTACTCTGCAGCTTTATCGACTTGGAAGCAAACCATCCTTCTATATCTATATTAAAAGCTTCTATATCTACTCTGCAGCTTTATCGACTTGGAAGCAAACATCCAAGCTGTTTGCTAGTTCTAATGTGACATTATTTTCAAACTAGAACAGAAGCTTAAACGCATCATTTTAACTGGATTTGGATCCTGGATTCATATCCTGAATTCATGGCATACAAAAGTAGTTCAACACAAGAGGGTCTTTTGCAGTGTGGCAAATGTATTTTAAGGTCATAAAGCTACACACATAATAAATGTAAAAGAAATAGCACATTGCTCTTCACAATGGTTCGAGACAGAGTTCTACATGTCACAGGGCTTGCCAGCTTTTCGTATTAACCACCCAAATTTACCATTTCTGCTTTTAAACCCTCTGGCTCACTAGGCTTCCATTAGAAATTCATTTACTGTAATTATGCTTCCATCTTATTTCTCAGTACTGCCACAGGCGATGATTATAGACATACAGTATGGTTGAATTTAACACTGAATATTCCTTTAGAACGTTCCAGATGGAAATAAGAAATATTTAATCGTTTTTGGTATGTAAAAGATAGCTATATCTTGGAAATGTTTTTTTTTTAAAGCGATTTAGAGCAAAAAGATGATGATATTTGTTCTGTGACTATACACTGAAAATTGTTGTCTTGAAAATTGATGTTCTGTTTTAAACCTCATAGGTGCCAAGCAGAAAGAACAAACTATCTATGCAGAAGTTGACGTAAGTTTCATACTACTATTCTTCATTAACCATTGATACTAATTAAATGGTATCACACTATCTGTTGTCTTTTAAAACAAGCATGTAACATGCTTTGTAACTCTAGGTACAGTTTTTGGTAATAAATCATACAATCTCCGAAGAAAAATTACAAAAGCTGTTACTGGGGCAGTACCCTTTCAAAAGATACGAATATGTACTATTTAGGGACTAATATGAACCTTAAAAGTACGTACCTGCACCTATAGGGATTAATGAGGTAGAGTACTATTAGAGTCTGCATTAATTAATTAATTAATTAATTGGTATTTCTTATTGGTTATTTACTGTCACATGGGCACAGGTGATCGCGTCAATTTTCTTATTTATTTCTTATGGCGGATTACCTTTGGTGGTGGAAAGGAGTAGCGAAAGCCAACTTTCTGTTGAATGTATTGCGTTGGTTTGAATGCTGTATGTATTCAATGCCTCATATGCCTATATGTCCTCATACAGTATGTCAGTCTTATCAAGTAAATTAAAAGCAAGCTAAAACTTATCAGCCTTCTATTTGCTGGTAATGAAGACCAATCGCTATACTTAGTCTCTATGAGGCTGTTGGATGTCGCTAATGGTATCTGTAATATGAGCACTCACCACTCGTTTCATGCAAACCAGAAGTATGACATTTAGATTGGATTGTGTCTGCAGGAGAACATAAAGCCAAAAAAGTCACCAGAGATGTTGGAGAAATCAGATAATCCTCATACAGTGCATATTACTGCAGGAGATCCAGGACAAACTGATGTTACCATCCACACCACACACAACGACGCCCCTATTAATCAGGTGAAGAGTACACTCTAAAAAATGCTGGGTTAAATACAACTCAGTGCTGGGTAAAATAGGGACAAACCCAGCAATTGGGTTGTTTTGACCCAGCGGTTTGGTTAATTGTTTAACCCAACCTTCTGGGTAGTAACCCAATTGCTGGGTTTGTCCCTATTTTACCCAGCACTGGGTTGTATTTAACCCAGCATTTTTTAGAGTGTAAACAATAGTGACTCTAATCGCAGTTACAATTCATTTCAAATTAACTGATGTTTTTTTTTTTTAATGATCTGAAGCTGATTTTGTTCTTCTTTATTTCAGAGTTCATCACTCACAGAGAAGAGCAAACCAGATGCACCAGTCACTATCTACTGTACCATTCAGCAGCAACCAAAACCCCCGAAAACTGAAGCTGAAAACACTATTTATGCTGTGGTCAGTAAACAGCCAGCCGGGTATGAATCTGCACATCCACAATCAGAATAAAAGTGAGCTTCTTATAAAGCTGAACCCTTACAGTGATTCAAAGTAATAAAGGACTTTATGTGTTCAGGAAGGCAGTGTTATTCTCAGTGTAAATAAGCAGAATATTTACCATGTGCAATGTGCTCCCATTGTAGCTGATTTAGGGTGTTAAAGATATTTGTATATGTAAATTCTGTCTTTTTTAAAGCAACAGTAAATTTATTTTTTTTATTGTAAAATTGTTGTACATGTGGCTCAGACAGGAATGCAAAATCATATGCATGTGGTTTCTATAGATTTCTGTTAGAGATTCCTCACCGCCTTTGCAGGCAACACCTGTAAACCACTTCCTGGAAAGTATTTGTCAAACTATAGGAGTTATTTTGAAAGGTCACAGGGGGCGTACATTTACCCATTCACCCCCATCCCTCTGAAAACACACAGTTCCGTATACAAAAAGTAATGAATATGTAATCAGAAATGTACTGTACAAAGCCACTTTGCACTAAAGGAAGTAAAAAATGATTGGGCTCAAGTTGATGGAGTATGTCAGTAACTGATCAGGCATCTGTGTACTGTGTCTAGTGTAGACAGCATCAGTGATTATAATAGTATAATTTGCTTTTGATGTGACACTCATGTCTGGTGTAACCAGGTGTCACTCATTAAGGGCTGGTCACACTACTTTTTGTTATACTGACCTCCATTCATACGAATTTGAATCCAGGAAACAGAAAACACAAGATCATGTCCATTTCGCTGCGTTTCAAAGTTCAAATTTGGTGAACTTCGCTCTACAAATTCATATCATGTGAAGATGTGCGACCAATAGAAGATCCGTGTGGCCTCTTAGCTGAATTAAAAGACCCCAAACTTAAAATCAGCAGGATATAAGTATTGTAGTAAAGTGAAGTAGATTACATATTTTTACAGTTTGGGTGTAATATACAGTAAATGTAGAAGTATCTTTTTAAAAAAAGACACCGGAGAGTGTGACATCAACATCATATTACAACCTTTGCAGTGTCCATGCGCAAAGTCTAGTATGGTATACTAAACGGTATAGGGCGGGGCCTATGGTGCAATGTATAACTATTATTTGATATCATGCTCCGGAGGCAGTGATATGCCAATTTATTTGCCCATGTGACATCACAGATCCCACAATATCCAAGCCGGTGCGTGGTTAAATAAATGTTTGGGGTTTTTTTTAAATAATGAGGACTTTTGGAAGAGGAAGCCATGAAACTTTTAAGACGTTTTAATAGAACAACAATCTCTTATATGTGAAAAGATCAAAGAATGTGGAAAAAAGTGCTTTTTCATGCTGTCATGACCCCTTATGTTGTACTGTTTCTCACTTTGCTTTGGATTTTTGTCTTCAATTATTTATTGCTCTCTTTGTTTGGTTTCTTTTTGTTTTAGCCTGTCCTCATGTTTTGAAGCCACTATTCTTGCAGCTTTTTCCATTAAAAAAGAAATAAATCATTTATGCAGCTATGTAATTTAGCATTATTGTATGTCTTCCCAAGTGTCTAGACTACTACAATACATTTAAAGTGCTGTATGCATATGAATATTTGAATGAATTTGATGAATATTTTCTATTGCACAAAGGTACCTGAACCATTACAACCCACATATTTACAACCCCTCAGTTTTGTTGACTTGTAAAATATAGTTAAATGAGTGGAACCCACTGTCGTAATTACAGTGTATCGATCTATCTATCTATCTGGTGTGTTTGCAACGTCATTTCGTTCAACTGCAATGCATCTGTGATATATAGTTTGATTATGATGTTTATGAATTAATATAGCCATGTATTTTCAAGCTACCATTCAAAAGTAAATAAATACAGTACTGTTTTATTTATTTTGAAGAAAACGTTATGGAACTAAATTATAAAATGTTTTTCTGACACATACAGATCTAAAAATGAGAAAGTGAGATAAAAATGAATGAGCAGTACAAATCTGAACCACTGCAGGAAAGCGATAGTTGAGTCCTGAAAATTCTACTGTAGCCTATAAATAAATAAACCTTTCAATTATAAAAAAAAAAAAAATTAAGTATTTAGACACATCGTTACATGTTAACTTGGCAGCCCTAAAGAATACTTACACAACTAAAAAAAATTATAGAAGAGACGTCATTGGTTGGCAAAAAGTAACCATTTCACTTCTCTTGTTGTCACTAAGTAGTTACCTCTTTAGATCATTATTAGAAAGTCAAATCTCTAGACTTTACCAACACTTTCTACAGACTGATTAGACAGAACATACATGTATTAAACAAACAAATCTGCAAAAAAGAGTTGCAAGGCAAAATGGAGCAAAACCTTCATACAAAGCAAAAACATTTCTACTTAAAGGGGTCATATGATGCGATTTCAATTTTTCCTTTCTCTTTGAAGTGTTACAAGCTCTTGGTGCATAAAGAAGATCTGTAAAGTTGCAAAGACTAAAGTCTCAAATCCAAAGAGATATTCTTTATAAAATTTAAGAGTCAGCTACACCTAGGTTTAATCAACAACAAATCAGTGTCTGAAATAATCCAGCTAGCAGCCGGTGTGCAGCTGATCCTGCGGTGCGTTACAGCTGCTGCCACTCAGTCTTTTCCTTCGGTGTGTTACAGGCAGCTGCTGCCGCTCAGTCTTTTCCTTCGGTGTTGACCGTTCAGGACCGTGGTAAAGTTAGTTTTAAATTGGATAGAGTATGAAGACGCCATTTGAAACTAACTTCACCGCGGTCAGTTCAAGAGAAATCTGAAAATATTCCACTGAAATATACCAAACGAAACAATCAGCACTCACTCAGATCACCGGTATTAATATATCCATAGACTTATAAAATAGATTTTGTGTTACATACCCGAGACGTGTTCCTTCTTTCAAAAATGTTTAAATACTTCTGGTACCGTTGGCCGCATAATTTCAAAATTCAAACAGCAGCGACCCCACAATGCTATGCGGTGGCTGTAAAATAATGCTTCTACGGTGTAGTTACAATAATATTACAGGACTGTCCTTAAATTTCCCATCATGCATTTGCATTTACAATAAAAACATGAATACAATTCGTTGTTGTAAAATTTATTGTAAAAATTACATCAATCGCTAACAGTGTACCTAAAACGGCTCGTTCTAACACGCCCCCACATATCTACATCACGATGTGGAAGATTTGCATAACGCCACCCAAATGTTCACGCAAAGAAAGAAGGCGTAACAATTATTCTCGCTGTAGTATTGTTGTTGCCGCCGCCATGTCATGAAGGCGCTGTGTTTCGTTGTGAAAGCAAAACTACTTTGTTTGGCCTTCCAAAAGAGGACACAACTAGAAATCAGTGGTTCAACACTGTTCCGGAACAGTTCAACGCAAATATTCAAATGTGTGCAGCGCATTTTGCGGAGGATGAGGACTGTTTCCTGTGAGAGTAGCCTACAATGCCGGTGTCTGTTTCTA